AACAACAACAACAACAACAACAAGCCTTTATCCCACTAGGTGGGGTCGGCTACATGGATTGCAAGACGCCATTGTGCTCTATCATTTATTAAGCTTTTAGAAATATTATTAATTAAGAGATCACGTTCAACAACTTCCAAGAGTGTTCTCTTAGGCCTTCCTCTACCTCTCTTAATCGGACTCAAAGTTATATGTTCCACTCTTCTCACTGGTGCCTCCCTTGGTCTTCTTTGTACATGCCCAAACCATCTCAACCGATTTTCTACCATTTTTTCCTCAATAGGTGCCACCCTCACTTTTTCGCGTATGTGCTCATTTCGAATTTTATCTTTACGTGTATGTCCGCACATCCATCGTAACATTCTCATCTCTGCTACTCCAACTTTATGCTCTTGCTGTCCCGTTAGAGCCCAGCATTCACTACTATATAACATTGCCGGTCTGATAGCAGTACGATAAAACTTTCCTTTAAGTTTATTAGGCACCTTACGGTCACAAATAACTCCTTTAGCTTTTCTCCAATTAAACCACCCAGCTTGAATTCTATGTGAAATATCTCCACTGATTTCGCCATCATTTTGAATAATGGCTCCCAAATATCTAAACTTTTCCACTTGAGGTATAATTTGATCTCCCAATTTCACTTCCAAATTATTTCGAATAGTCCTTTACCAAATTTACAATATAAATATTCCGTCTTACTTCTACTCAGACGAAAACCTTTCGACTCCAATGTCCTCCTCCATAACTCAAGTTTGCAATTAACCTCTTCTCTTGTCTCTGCTATAAGAACTATATCATCCGCGAAGAGCATACATTTCGGGATTTCCTCTTGAATATGTTCCGTCAAAACATTTAAAATCAAGTTGAACAAATAAGGACTCAGAGATGATCCCTGATGTAGTCCAATCTTTATAGGAAAATCCTTTGTTTGACCACTAGGCGTTCTTATACTAGTTTTTACCCCCTCATACATATCTTGTATGGCTTTAATATAAGCAATCCGTACTCCCTTTTTTCCAACGCTTTCCAAAGCACTTCTCTTGGTATACGGTCATAAGCTTTTTCCAAATCAATAAAAACCATGTGTAGATCTTTATCTTTACAACGATACTTTTCCATTAATCCCTTAGTAGATAAATCGCCTCTGTAGTTGATCTACCTGGCATAAAACCAAATTGATTCTCAGAAATACTTGTCTCCAATCTCAACCTGTGCTCAATTACTTTCTCCCACAATTTCATTGTGTGGCTCATGAGTTTAATCCCTCTATAGTTAGTACAATTCTGAATATCTCCTTTATTTTTATAAATAGGAATTAATGTACTTCTCCTCCACTCATCAGGCATTTTCTTGGACCGTAAAATCACATTAAATAACTTAGTTAACCATCTCACCCCTTCTTCACCTAAACATTTCCACGCTTCGATAGATATACAATCAGGTCCGTTAGCTCTACCATTTGCCATTTTCTTAAGAGCTTCCTTTACCTCCTTATCACGTATTTTTCGATAGAATGACAAATTTTGTTCTCCTTCACCAGTTACTAAATCCTCCAAGTTACTAGATGAATCCTCTCCATCATTGAAAAGTTTAGAAAAATAAGTCTCCCATCTATTTTTAATTTCATCATCTGTAACTAAAATTCTTCCCTCTTCATCCTTAATACACCTTACCTGTTCTATCTCTTGATTTTCTTTCCCTACTCTTTGGCAATCTTATAAATATTTTGCTCTCCTTCCTTCGTCTCAAGGTTCTTATAAAATTCTTCAAAAGCTTTAGAACGAGCTTCACCCACAGCTCTCTTAGTTTCCTTCTTAGCCATACGGTACCTCTCCCAATTTTCCTCATTGTTACACAAATGTATGGCTTTAAAACAGTTCTTCTTATACTTGATTTTGTCCTGTACACTATTATTCCACCACCAAGACTCCTTATCTCTCGGACCAGAACCTTTCGATTCTCCCAAAACTACTTTTGCAACCTCCCGTATCTTTTTAGCTATATCCTCCCATATGATGTTAGCACTTCCCTGAGAATCCCAAATTCCTTTATCCAAAAGATTTCGCTTGAAAATATCTTGCTTCTCACCTTTTAATTGCCACCACCTAATCCTTGGTGTTACTACTTGTCGACGTTTTTGGATTTTACTCATAATACACACATCAAGGACTAGGACCCTATGTTGTGTCGTTACAGCATCTCCAGGGATCACCTTACAATTTTTACAAAGTTTTCTATCTGTGTTCCTAACCAAAAGAAAATCAATCTGCGACCTTGAGGCTCCACTTTTTGTAGGTGATGAGATGCTCATCTCTCTTCTTGAAACAAGTGTTGGCAATCTTAAAATCATACGCCAATGAGAAATCAAGAAGAGTTTGCCCTTCATTGTTTAGCTCTCCAAAACCAAAACCACCATGCACCCTCGCATACTGATCAGCTTCCCTCCCGACATGCCCATTAAAGTCTCCTCCAATAAAAATCTTTTCACTCTGTGGTATGTGTCGAATCAACCCCTCCAGATCCTCCCAAAATAATTCCTTAAGACTGGCTTCTGTCTCGACTTGCGGCGCATAAGCGCTAACAATATTAACAGTCTCACGTCCAATTATCATTTTTAAAGAAATAATTCTGTCTCCAATTCTGCTAACTTCTACAACGTTCTTCTTCCACTCCTTATCTATAATGATGCCTACTCCATTGCGTGCACTTACTTTTCCTGTATACCAAAGTTTGAAACCTTGAATATCCTTAGCTTCTTCTCCACGCCATTTTGTTTCTTGCAAGCAAAGGATATTGATTTTCCTTGAATCATAACCCCTACAACCTCTACAGATTTACAATTTAATGTCCCAACATTTCAAGGAAACAGAAGTATCAGATTAATAAAACATTGACCTTGTTTTGGCACCATCAAATTTTAAGGCGCAATGCTGCGCTAGAGCATTTGCTAAGATCTCCCAAAAGGTATAGAACTCTCTGGACAAAGCAAAGGTTAACCTATTCTGGATTGTTTCCCAATTGAAAACACTAATTCCTAGATGTAAATTTCATAATCAGCTGCATCAAACAAAAATTCATAAATAAATATAAATCATAAGGATGTGAAGACTAGACTGGGAAAATATTTTTCTATAGTGTTCTACTTTTAGCCCGCCACAGCTGTGTAATAGCATACAATCAGATAGGAAATTTCGAAACCTGAGAGCACACATCAAACACCAACAAAGAAGGGACTTTGCCAAAAGCAAACACGATTATCAATATATCAAAGATGCCAATTAAAAAGAGTGAAGTTATCAATTCATCAAAAACTCACTGCAACTAACAAGGTTTGATTAAGTATATTCTAATCAGCTCTAAAATGCTTCACTCAAAGATGATGCAATTACAATGACGAGCATGCGATCAGCAATGACTCAGGATACCATTTTTAACTTGCAGATACAGAGCCTTAACTAATTTCAGAAAATCCACACCACACAAGTCCTTCCCTTATATTATTATCATCTTCACACCCTAAGCTAGATAAACGAGAATAACTAAACCCTGTCCGAAAATAATGTTACCAAACCTGAGTGGGAATTCTAGCGCCAACGCAGAAAAGGAAATTGCTGAAATCTCCAGAAATGGCACCGGCTAAAACTGTGAGAGGATTATAGGCACCGCCATGGGTCCATATTCCCAACAATGCAAAAAAGAACATATTTATGATGGAAAGCGTCATTTTCACGGCCTCAAGAACTGGCTGGTGACTCAACCCCAAATATCTGGAGACAGATACCTTAATTAGAACCCCAGACCACACCCACATGAAGGACATGAGGAAATCTGAAACAAGCAGCCGAACCCTTCCCATCCTTTTCTGCTACTTGGAACTATGAATTGTGTTGTGTATTATTCTTTCTTTTCCTCCGACAGAACCCAGACTCTAAATGGCCATTTCTATCCGCCGTTTGTGGGTATTGCCGTGGGCATGGAGGCGTGGAGGCCCCCGAAACCGGTCAACGGACAATCGTATGAGTTCGAATTTTCAGGTGAGATAGTAATCGTAAACATATTTTCACAGGCTTGATGGATCCCTTAAAAAAATGGCAATTTAGTGATTTATCTTTACTCGGAAAAACCGGAGAAGCAGAAGGTTTTTTTGGGCTAATGAAAGAAAATGTATTTTTCCATCAAGAATTAAATATATTTATAGTTACATATAATTTGTTGGCAAAAAACTTTATATATAATTATAATTTTAATTTAATATAATTTATATCTCTATATATAATGCAAAAATAACAGAGGCACAACTACTTTTTTATCATTATCGTCTCATGTTTACTAGTGCATATACTGGACAGGACTTCAATCTAATTTAAAATTTGACCTCTTTTATGAAAAGAGATTAAATTAAGTAACCCATAATTTAATTGGATTCTGATATCATCTAAAACTGAACGGGATATGACTATTCTAGTAGGAGCAAAAAAATGGTCTCGATCTTTTTTAATATTTCACTCTTTTTTTTTTATTTACGAAAGATAATAATTTATTTTAACTTAATAAGCTCAATTAACATAATAAAATTATTTATAGTCAATATAAAATTTATCATAATAACAATAATTATAAATTCATAATAATTTCTAACAATAATAAAAATATTTTAATTACAAAACAAAAGATTCAACAAATGAAATAATTTTTAAAATTAAACAACATTAACATGTTTGAAATTAATTAAACTAAGTTAACAACAAATTTTATTAATAAAAGGAGAAAATTAAAGTTAATTAATGCAAAAATTTTGTTCAATATTCATGTCCTTAACAAGTATAAAACACAAAAATTATTAATTATTATAAATTAATTTGTTATAATAATAATATTAATTAATTAATTATAATTATATTAACTAAATTTATAAAGCTGGATTGGACTTAGTTTGATCTCTTGTCCAATTTAATTTAAAAAAAAAAATTAAGTTTTATTTATCTTACAAAATTTATCCTAGTCAAATTAAACTAAATTGTCTTGAGTTGGATTGGATGAGACCGAATCAAACCAAAGAGCTTTGGACGCCCTTGTTTAGTGTAAAAGACCAGTATAATCTGCTTAGTCGGAAAGAAAAAGATTTTGAAACGTAATAAAATATTCAAAAATTTTAATCTCACAATGTGTCGTGCCAAAAAAAAAAAAAAAACTTTTGCCATTTTCTTGAAGCGAAAGGCAAAACCTTTCTTATTTGTTATTTCCATGCTCTAGTAGGGCTCCAGGGGGAAGTCAAGAGTGACATTCGATCACGGCCAAGATTTGGTACCGCCAATTGATCGTTAGGAAGCATGAGTAGCATCGGAACAGGTTATGATCTCTCAGTCACGACTTTCTCGCCCGATGGCCGAGTTTTTCCAGATCGAGTATGCAGCCAAAGCTGTCGACAACAGCGGGTACCTTGCTGCCGCTTCCTCTTCCTTCTCTTCTTCTGCTGCTTGATTTTCCTTTTTATGTTTGTTGCTAGACATATCAGAAGTAAATATGATTTTTTTTCCTGGCTTGCCGATGGCTAGAACATTGTTAGTCGGATTGTAGATACTGGGATCTTACTGTCAAAACTTTTGTTGCAGAACTGTGATTGGTATCAAATGCAAGGACGGAATTGTGATGGTAGATATTTTGTAAATGCGTTCATCCCATGTTTTCAGCATCTATGTGCTATTCTTTTCTCAACATTAACCTAATTTTAGGGGGTCGAGAAACTTATTCCGTCCAAGATGATGCTGGCGGGTTCCAATCGAAGAATACACTCTGTTCATCGCCACTCGGGCATGGTACCATGTTATTTACTTTTAGTTCTGACTGTTCTGTTTTTGCACATCTTGTTATTTCTTCCTTGTTAATCTTTTTCATGGTGTGATAACCATAGAATGAATACTTGAAAGAGACCTCTATGATATGCCTTCTTGTTTAGGGACGACCTCACTAACTTGTTAAGCGGTGTGGAAATTGGTAGAATCCTAGATTTATTCACTGATTGGCTGATTGAGCATGTATAATACTAGAGATTGTTGAAAGAAGCGGTGATAGTTGAGTGAGTTATGGAGATCGAAGAAAATGGAAGTTATGTTAGATGAGTAGCATTTACTAGAACTGGATTTTTGTTGGAACGAACTAAAAGCACCTGAGCGAGTGGTATCCAAACAGCTTGAATGTCTACTTATACCCACCCTCTTCCGCACCAAAGCAAAATTCTTTGATGTGAGACTTAAAGCTGCACTGCTTGGAGAGGGTGGGATCCAAGTATGCGCATATGCTCATACTTTTTAAGAATAAAGGTTAAAGGTTAAAACTACTTAACTGGAGTTCTTTTAGTATTGATGCGAATTATTGTTTCATATCAAGTTGGTCTTTCGGTTCATAGCACTGAATTTTATATTCCTATCCTCAAACTATATTTGACTGTTATTACTAAAACTGTGATTTTGGGTTGTAATGTCTTTAATTTCTGTTCTTTGGAAGTAAGCGCAAATCATAAAAGAAGAAAAGCAATGGTGGATAAATTCTTGTTTTCATCTGGTGCAATGCACCAATGTAACTGAACTTTTATATCATTATAACTAGGATATAGCATTGGGATTTTATTTAAGAATTTTTGGACTACAATGCCATTTATCACTCTCTTGTTGCTTTGGTGCCCTGCATAATTGCTCAGGAAATGTCTATTGTTGAGTAAATTTTCTTTCTCATATAAAATTTTTGATTATCCCTATATTTGAATATCTGTGAATATATTCATAATATTCTTCCAATTTCAGGCGGTGGCAGGATTAGCAGCTGATGGGAGGCAAATTGTTGCCAGGGCTAAGTCAGAAGCTACTAATTATGAAAGGTTTTATATTGTGCTCCTTGCAACATTTGAAGATTGTCCCTTGATTTCCATAATTTTGCATTTTTTATGCAGTTTGACCGATTTAACACTTTCTCTATTTTCTGTTGATAAGCCATTGACATGATAGATATATGGACTGATTGAATCACTGTATGGTATTATTCAGCTTCATCTTATGTTCTCATTTTGAGTACTAGGTGCAATTTTCAGCACTGTTGCTTACCTACCAATAACCAGCAAAAGATTTTTTAGGATGGGCTACATTTTATCATGAAGCCAATGAACCTATGAATTGACAGATTTGTGGATATTGCTGTCTGCATTTAAACACGGCCATTGATTTTTCATCTGTGAATTTGTTGAGTATACTCTATTATGACACTTCAAGTTGAAGTTACGGCTTTAATGATAGGGCATATTGAATTGTTCAGTGTATGGATGTCTTGGTAACCTTCTCTGCTAGTTATGGCATATATACTTTAATGCTTGCGATTTTATATGCTTAGACTTCCTTCTCTATAGAGGAAGGCGCAATTGCATTGCTGTTGATAAAAATAGAAGTAACTGTGCAACATTTTGATTGCAACAAACATTTGCTTAGTAGTTGACTGTAATAAGCTGTAACCTAACAAATATTATTCTCTTTTTAATGGTAAGCAGTCATGTTTCAAGAATGAGGCCATGGTTCATTATAATAAACTCATTTCTTTATCAATTAACCTAAGGTCATGATTTATGTTGTGCCTTATTCTGATTAACTAGTAAATGAAAACTATAATGACATTGTATCTCGAGATTTTGAGGTATTATTAAATATTTTGGTTCAATTTATGAAAAGAAGACATGTTTCATTCATTTCTCTTTTCAGTGTTTATGGTGAACAAATTCCTGTCAAGGAACTTGCTGATCGGGTGGCTAGCTATGTGCACCTTTGTACACTATATTGGTGGCTCAGGTTAAATGATATCTGATTGAATGTAATTAATCTTTAAATTGTATTTCCTTATGGTTCACTGTATTGAAAGAACTACAATGCTTTTGCAGACCTTTGGATGTGGTGTCATACTAGGAGGTTATGACAGAGATGGACCACAATTGTACATGGTTGAACCATCCGGTGTTTCCTATGTGAGTCTATATTTGTTATGGCTATGCCATGGCTTTGTTAGCAGATTGTTCAAGTTATTTTGTTTAGTTTCATTTGTATTTTTGTACTGATTTGTTTTGGCATTTGTTTAGAGGTATTTTGGTGCAGCAATTGGGAAGGGCAGGCAGGCTGCTAAAACGTAAGTGAGATCAGTTTTATAATTTTTTTTTGTAGTAATCATTAATGTGATGCTGTGCCAAAATTAATAATAACTTTGAGGTGATTAAGCCTCAAATCTTGGGGTTTAAAATTTTGAAAAGTTGCTGAACCTTGAGAAGATTGCAATAGACGTCATTTCTTTAGTGCAGTGGGAATTGTTCTTGTGAAGTTGTGAGAATCATGAGACCAGCTAATAACGTGTGAGGACAACTTTCCTCTTGTTTGTGTAGTTTGATTTTACTCTAATCGTGTGAAGGGAATTAACTAAAGAAGCCAACCTATACTATTAATTAGAATTTATTTTCTCAAATCCTGTAGCCATCGTGTCAATCCAAATAAGAGCACACAATTGTACTCATTGGATGTAACCTGGCAAAAAGTAGCAAGAAGAAATGGACTTGGATTGGAAATATGACTGGATTAGTATCGTCAGTTATGGAGTCTATCAAAAATCTCTTCAACTAGAAAGCTTAAACTAATAAGTGGTTGCCCGATGAATGGTTTTTACTGCCCTCTATCATGCTCCCTTACATAAATCTAAAAGCCTTATGGGCTTGAAGTATGGAGTACACATTGGTTCACAAAACTGTGATGAAATTTAACTTTCAATTAAGAAATGGGAGGCAATTGAACACTTGCCTATGAGGTCCTAGAGACTCTACTATGTTGAGGCTGCTTTGCTTTTACTAAAAAGCTTAATCTGCAAAGTTGGATCCGTGGAAGATTTTGGTTAGTCTATAAAATAGTGAGGTTCTGCAATCTGTGGCATTTTAAACCTTGTGCTTTAGTTGCCTTAATCTTTAGGAACATGGTGGGGAGGGCCAAAAGATTTTGCTGTCAACAATGATGAAATAAAATGTTCCAATTGTGTGTTGGGAAGACCTTGGCAGTGGTCAAC